GTGTGCGAGTATCTTCCATTCAATTATTCAAGTTCATGGGCAAACATTTTTGAAACTAAATCAAAACATTCTTACACAACAGCTTTAAATGAAAGACAAAAATTTGTCAGTTTTCGTCAGTAGAACGTTTCGATAAATTTAGTATCATCATCGTGTAAAAAAGTCGTATACAATGAACAGTAGAACACATAAGAGCAAAGTTACTGATTATTGGCATTTGTCGATCGAGAAAATGTTAGAAATGCAAACAGAACTTAGTAAGAATCATGACGTATCCCAGATAGGTATGCACCGGTGCCAGTTAACTGGATGGCATTGGTAAATGCCTAATCCTGGATATAAAAAGTCATCAGACATTTTACAATCCTTTCAGAATTTTCCAACTTAAAGATATGAATGTAGGTGTTAGTATAGATACAAATGCGCTGAAAATGACATTCTCACTTACACTCATACCTACACCTACTCTTTATTCTGGCAAAATCTAAAATGCCAGAATAGCGAAGATGTGAAGTTTCACAGAGATATGGTCAGCGCAAGATATGACAAATCTCTATTCAACATTCGAATACTTACTGGACCTGTTTTCTGATACACGAAACGGCCTTCTGCTTCTAAATAAAAAATAAAAAATGAGCAAGTAGATGTTAGTTAGAAAAACAAACTTTTTTTTCAGCTCTCATCGTTTGTATGAAATGCATTTCTTTCTGTTTCAAGTATGTCAGCACCTCGATACTTTAATAGACTTTTTGTTTACATCGATATTTTTTCTACAACTTAAAAGCTTTTTTTCTTTCTGTGGTAGATTGCGATGAACAGGGGTGCTACTTTATAAATAAAGATAAAGATAATCTTTATTTACAAAATAAAGTCAAACTAAAGAATAAAGATGTATTTTTTAATACAAGAAGTACATAGGGTGTGGGTATGGGTATTGAAGGTATCTTTTATCATCACTCACATCCACACCCAACTACTTTTATATTTTGAGCTACTTTGAACGGTTTTTGTACTTTGCGCTACTTCCTGCCACTTCCACACACTTCAAACTACTTTTGTATTTTGCCCCAAAGTTAGGGAACTGCAAAATGGTCCTGGTTCCGGTCCCTGCGGGACTCGGACCGGGATCGGGACTAAGACTAAAATTGTCAGCTAGTCCCTCAGTGTTTTTATCAAGTATAAGACTAGACATTTTCTTATTTGTTTTCTTCTTTAATTAAGAATCGACAAATGTATTATTTTATAGTTCAAGAAAATTCGTATAGACTAAATTTACAGTTAAAGAAGCGAGAATTTTCGTGAACTTTATATATTTTTTCATAGATGAAGACGACACCAGAACTATTCTTAAGCTTTTGTCAAGACCGAAACCGGGACCAAAAATGTTTTACCGGAGCTAGACTGGAACCAGGACCAAGAAAAAGTGATTTTGCAGTTCCTTAACTTTGCCGTACTTTACGCCTTAAAGTACGCTATTTACCTCTTGACCCGCCCACGCACACGCATACCCTCAAGAGCCACACCCACACCAATAATCAGTGAAGTGCAGATACACAAACAAGCAAACAAAAAAGTTATTCTAGCTAGATTCTTCTCTACGAGAAGGAAAACATCAACGGAAAATTGGAAAGAATAATAATGTCTACAATAGTGCCATGATCAAATGGAAAATCAAACAGCATCCATCCAATGGCATTGTTACTTTTTGTTTTAACAGTTTCTAACGATGGCTGAATTGCGTCGTTTATATACAGTTTCGATAGACCGCCAAGTTTACTATTTGTAGCGCTGGCAAAATTTAGTAAAATCTGATTTGTCTCTTTATTTGATATTGCAGTCTTAGTTAAATTCAGCTTATAATCACGAGATGCAGGTTGATAATTGTCTTGGACTATGAGGGTGTAAGTCCTAATCTTGTTAGTTTCAAGTGTTTGCACTTTTGGCGCATCATCTTCCCAATCATCCTTAGTAGTTTGTCCAACCGGTGCTCCAAGACCAATATATGTGATATTGTTCTTGATTCTATTGAGTAAAAATATGCTTCCTCTCATGTCTTTTAATTTTTCATTATTGGTCAACGGTTTACAACCAAACACCTTCAAAAGATCAACTAATGCATCCATTGCGGGACCTCTGGACGACCAGGTAGAAAGAGTGCCCCAATCGTCTACTTTTAACAAAGCAATAATCGTTTCTGTAGGTGTATTTGCGAGGTAGTCATAAAAATCTTGAAATACAGCTTCAACCGGTCCATATTCATTCAACTCAGTACCACTTAGTATGTCACCGTGACATGTTACGAAAGAAAAACTATTAATACTTGTTTGTTTTACTTTTATTCGTATATCGAATAGTCTAATTCCATTTTTCAATTGATCTTTTATACTTCGATCTTGGCATCCAAAAAAAGTTATGGGTGACGTATAACTCACTGCCGCGCTGCAATGAGTGCCTGGAATATTAATCTCAGATATATAGCTGTTTTCATCAATTGTAGACATCCAAGCGTCGTGTCTCACTATATGAGGTGAACTTCCTAAAAAATACATACATATTCTCGGAAAGTTAAGCTTGCCAGATTTGTCACTATAAGAAATCTGTTAAGTGTTTCGATCGACTTCGATGAGAATACATAAAGGAAAAAATAGGATCTATAGATTTGGGTGATACATACGTGATGAAAAGAAGAAATATTCTGACTTTTGATTTTGTTCATTGAAACAGAAATCTTATAAGAAACATGTTTTCTATTTTGAAAGATTATGTTCCCTTCTATCCTTTCTATCAGAAAATATAATTTTGTAATTTTGTAAAACACGATCTAAAAGGAGTATTAAAGCGTATAAGGATGAAGACAATTTAAAAATATTTGATGTAGAACATACAGGATCTAGTCATAGAGAATTTTTGTTCTTCAAATTCTAGTAGATATATCGTGTTTCACAGTGTTCATCCCGCAGGCTTATAGACGTAGGCTTCCTCCAAGCAACGGTGTATAATATATATTATTCAACTCTATTATGTATCGTGAGAGAGAACCTATACACCTAATGTCGATTCTGTATATTACTAAGATTGAATTCATTTTCAGGGATATGCGGGGTAGGAGTGGTTGTGGTTTTATTGAAGATCATCAAGTAACAGTCACACCGAATCTACGATGCGGCAAACTGTCACCTGGTTATAAGATTATAGACACTTTTGAATGAGAAATTCAGTAAATGAAAAGAGTATAAGAGATAAACATTGTTACATAAACAAAAAATTTCAATGATTTGACTTACGAAAATAATCTTTGTAATTGAAAATCAACACAATAGATACAATCATTATTGTTGTATATAATAATACTAATCTATATGCAGTAACAGTCGATTGTATCATACTGAAAAGAATGTAGGAAAGCTTAGACTTTCAATGCAGAAATGTAGCAGCTTTAAACGGTTCAACCTAAAATTAAAAAAAAGATATTTTAATCGTTTCAGCATGTATATTGATGTAAAAAGCAGAGATGGTCTCAGATGATTGCCTAATTCAACTTATAATATAAATGGAGCGAAAAAAACAATAACACTCTTATTTACCATAAAATTCAAGTATTCTTTATTCACCAAATATTATTACAATGAAAAAATATCGAAAATTCTAGTATAGACTTATACAATATATATATTTTTTTCATTATAGTGGTGATTAAATATATCATTGTCTGATTCTAATTCTTAATTGAGATTATGGAAGTGGAATAAGCTCATCGTAGTTTTAATGAAGAAAATTGTGACTAGCTTAGAAAATGAAATATATTCGTTTCCGTTCCCCATACATTCAACGAAAACTGCTCAATATTATCAAGTGCTTCTCTGACGTATCTCAAGTCCATTATTTGGCATGATAGTGCAATAATGAGATTTAAATTTAAATTTAAATTGTTCAGACTTTATTTTTCTTCATCCTCAATCGCACCTCTATCTTTACTTTACTTTACTGCGTCTGGTAAAACGAAGCAATTCGGACCACTTTTGCGTTACACAATAAAGTAAAGAAAAATGAAAAAGTGCAATATTTTCAATTCTATTTGACATTGAAAAAGCAAAGTAAAAAAACTTATTTTTACTGCGCACTGTAAAATAATGTAAAATTGAATTGCTCTACTGCATTTGGTAAAGTAAAGTAACACTGACCTGCTTTATTTACAGAATAAAGCAAAACAAAACTGAAAAGTGTGTTTTTTTCCAGGCTTCGATTGTATTTCACTGTTAACGTAAAGTATAATGGCTTTGCTTTAATATATATATAGAAATAAAATGTCATTCCTATAAATGGTCATTTACATATATGATTGTGAATATGGTTATATTTATGATTTCGTATGCATATCCATCCAAACTGATTTTTTGTGAATAATTGCAGTAAAACCATCTTGGGAGTGTGCGTGAATGGATGTGAATACACATGCGTGAAAAAGAAAAATGAACTGCAATTTTTCTCTGTTCTGTCTTATTGTCATAGAATAAGAATACTTTTCTTCGTCTCTGAGTAACGTTTAATCTACTGTTTGTATTGTTTATAAAAATGAAGAAGCAAATGAAACATACAACATCATATGAGTGCATATATTTATTCATTTAGGGTGTGAACGTGTCGATTTAGAAAGAATTAACATCCATGTCAAAATTCTACCCTCTGCAATTTTTATATTTGAGATAATAAATACTGATTTTGTTTAATCCTGGTAGAAAAATTTTAAGATTCATATAAAATATATTCAGGGTGTAGTGTGGGTGTGGGTGTGGGCGTGAATGTGTTCTTATTTATTATTATTCAAATGATGGCCTGTGTATGATGTGACACTTTCTTATTATGTGATTACAGTCTTATCATGCGACAGTTTTTCTAATAAGATACTGAATATTCCAAGTACTATATAAAGAACAAGGAATATTCCAAGTACTATATAAAGAACAAGGAATATTC